TGTGTGTGTGTGTGTGTGTGTGTGTGTGTGTGTGTGTGTGTGTGTGTATTATGAGGAAAAGGTCCATCTTATGCATCTCCTATTCCCTTGTTCCATTTGCTAAAATGCTATTCTCTGTTCACAAGAAGGACTTGGGACTCCCGTTGAAAACTTGATCAAGAACATAAATTATTTCTGGGCTCTCCATTTTACTGCACGACACCATTTGTTTATTCTTAGTGCCAGAACTACTCTTGATCCTCTAGCTCTGGAACAAGATTTCAAGTCAGGGAGTGTGAACCATTCATCTGTGCAATATTTTCAGGAGTGAATTCACGAGGTGAGTCCTTACAACCTCAGGCTGGTATCTGCATTCTTAAACATGAGCAGCAACAGACACGATGAAGTGGGTTTCATCAAACCCAAACACTAATACTTTAGAAGACGTTACTCTGCACTTAAGAAGTCTATACACAGAACAGAAAAAAAAAATGTGAATTGGATAATGGTGAAGGACATGTATGTGGTACACAGGAAAAAAGCTTCAATTCAGATATAAGAACGGTGGACCGGGGACATGGTCCCACTGGTAAAGCACTTGCCACTCAAGTGGAAGGACTGAAATTTAGATATTGAAAATCTACATAAAAGCCAGGTAGGCCTGGCAGCCTGAACGTAATCCCAGAACTCTGGAAGGCAGAGATTTGGAAATCCCCAATGCAAGCTGTGAGGTCAGACCAGCTGAGCTGGGAGACATGGTTTCAGCACGATGTGGGTTCAACTTTGACTCCACCTTTGAGGGAGGGAGATTGGGGAAGGCTGCAGAAATGAACCCCTCGCCCCCCCCCACATATGCATACAAACACACCCGCATGCATAGCCACACACGTACGTAAGCTCACACACATGCAAATACACGTGCACACGTGCCTCTGCATAATATGTTCACACACACTTGAAAAACAAAGCAAAATGGAAATGACCCCATTTTAAAGAACCGAAAAGGACTTGCGCACTCATGTCTCCGAAGGCATGAAATCGCTGAATAAACAAAACAAAACCAAAAAAGCAACCTCTCTTTTAGTATGCTCCTTCTGCTACTGCCCTCCACCTGGACCACTTCCTCTGCGACAGCCAAGTCTCCCTTCCCACTGCCTGTGGCTTTCACACATAAAAAAATGCAGCCATCTTGGCTGATGAAATTTATTATTCATCAATACATCTACATTGGAGTGTGGATAATTCACACAAATCCTCAACAAGAGACTATCGTTATCACAATTCACCACAACCCCCCAGCGTTTTACAATCAATCTAAAAGTTATTTTTTTTCCTAGTGAGTAAATTTCATGCGGACATGAATAATATGGATATCTAACAGCATTTAATGGACTTTGAAAGCGTTTAGCAAAGTGTGGCCATTTCTACCAGCGCATTTAATAGACAAAACCCATACATAAAACTGGCTAAGTGTTCATCTTTTAGCTGCAACCTGTATTCAAAGTACATGAAATAGTTTTTGCGATGAAAAGAGAGACATCATACTGGTGAGGGTCAAATGGTTTTGAAAATTTTATCTGTTTTTCCTGACAATAGATACTGGATAATCCATACTAACAAAGGTCCCGCATTTCTCATGGGGTAGCATGGTATTCTCATTATACACAATGAATTTTAAATCTGCACAAGAATGCTTCGAACAATTAGTAGACATGGTGAAACTTATTCTAATTATTTCATTTATGTATGTCACCTGTCATTTTATTAGAGTTTAACATCAGCACCATTTAATATGAGATACAGTTTGTTATATTTTTCACCTTTTGTTAAGTTTGTCTAAAACAAATTCTCACTTATCCAAACATTTCATCTTGCAGGGAAAATTAGATTAGACAAAAAATGAGCAAAGTGAACAAACTGACTATAAAAATGTGTTCAAAATTTTGGGCAACAAGTTCAGTGGGAGAGAGAGGAATCAATCAACAACAGCGAGAGCAGCATATGAAGACAAGCTCGAATCCTCACTGACTTGAATATGTTCAGTTCAGTTCATTCAGCTTCCTGGACCTCCTGCCCGTGTCTGCCTTCCTGGAATGCCTTCATTTTCATCCCTAATTCTGGAAACACATGCAGGTCCAGCTCAACATTTTGTTTGACGCTGAAACTCTGCCAGTACTGGCTTCTTAACTTATCCTGTTCTCTGATCATTCCGCATTAGATTTCAGCCACTACACATATATGATTGTGTAATATTTAAGGTTTTTAATAGAAAAGAATTTTTTCTCAGCAAGCATGAGTTCCTTAACAGCGATGATGCCTATTTAAAATTTACTGTTTTCATATTTCCCAACAGTAGTTGACACAGTTATTAACCAGATACATGGGAAACGGTTAATAATTAGACCGAGAAAAAACATTTTGAGATAACAATGAAAGAGCAATGATTTGAGCTTATAGAATACTGCTGTTTGAATGAAAGAAGTTAATTATAGACCTCCTGAACACAATTCTCCTCTAGAAGAACAGCATAAATTACTAAGGCAATTTTCATATCATCATTATCAAGTTCGTGTTTTCCAAGAAACAGTTTTATTGACTTGTGTTGTGTCCTTAGCAAATTAATGATTTAGTTGTCTGTTCTTCTTGGTACAGGAAGGGAGCTTATACAGGAATTGTCCTGGTCTTTTAAAGATTTTGAAAGATTAGAGAAGAGAGTGAAGGTATATTTCATCTTCAAAGCCAATTATAAAGAGTTTTAAATGCCTTTGCATCTTAATATAGTCACTTCCCATATCTGTATATTTTAGTTGCTTCATTTTTACTTTTCCATACTGTACATATTTGATATGCATCTTCAAAATTCATTTAAATAGTTTTTCATATAATATTGTTTTCCTAAATATTAATGTTTGTATTTATAACAGTTGATAAAATACTTATTCTTTATGGTAAATGTTATGATGATGTTTGAATATTAATTTAATTCCACTAATTAATTAATTAATTAAGCTGTTGAGACACCTTAACAAATATTAACTAAAGTCCAAGTTCTTCCACTGATCTTCACTCCTACACAGAAAACAAACATCAACTTTTAGATTTATAAGTTTACCTTGTTTGTAGATGAACACATTAATGACAGCTTTACTGTAAAAATATTTTGGAATATGATTTGGAGCTCTTTCAGATTAAAGATAGGCAGAAGTTTGAGCTTTAATAATGCAAATTTCCAAAACGCTCAACTTACCTCCAATAGATGAGAATACCAACAAGAACCACTAGACACATAAAAGTCAGGGCAGACACGATCACAAGGGGTACAACCGCCTTCTTCTCAGATTCCAACCCCTCAGCTAGACCAATACGAGACTCATGGCTACTATTACTGGCCTCTGTAGTCGGAGAAAATTGAGAGAGTTGAGATTTAAGGTGAAGGAAAAGAAATGGCATTTTCCAACTGATCAAGTGTAGCCTGCATTGTTGCTACTCACCTTTCAACACGACTCTATGAGGCAAAGGTTGTCTATATATCAGTTTAAGTAAAATAAAGTTCAGAAATTAAAAGAAGACGTTAGAGCTATTTTTAAAGAAACAAACAAGTCATCGGAGGTGGGTTGTTTTAGCAGGATCTGGAACCATTACTGGTTGGAAAAAATTGCTCAAAGAGAAACTGGAGTATCAACATTTAGAGAATTACTGTTAAAAATAAAGGTCAAGAAAACACAATGTTATTTACTAAACCATTATATATAACCTTGATGCTCCAAAATTATTTGGATGTGTTTATTTTAACCTTTCAATTTGGCAAACAATGACAAAAAAATTGATAATGACTTTTCAATCAAGCAAATTTTCAATGTTAAGCGTAGGTTGTTTTTTTAAATGTTATATTTTCAAAATTATATTTTTTGTATTTACAGTGAGAATTTCATGCAAGCATATTATGTGTTTTGATCAGATCTGTTTTCAAATTCTCGTTTTCTGTTTTCTCTCAAAAAATTACTTCATGTAAACTTAAAAAACATATGTATCTAATAAATTGCTTTCAAGTACATGTGTGGACTGAAAACCTCTGAAGATAATCCCTGAACTAATGTAAAAGTTGGCGAGACACTATTATTATGTCCGATCAGGTACTTAATGATGTCACAAAAATTCTTAAGAAAGTCACTGTAACAAAGTCATTCTTCCAGGTTGTCAAGAACAACTTCAGGACTGTGAATGCGGGTAAACAGCCTCGATTCTTTCCATCTCCTGTGAAGGCAGCTTGGTAGAAAGCTGTTCCAACTCTACCTGACCCTGCCTGCTGTCCTGAACAGGTGCTTAGGGAGCTACACTGAAGGTCCTATCAAAGTCCTCCTAATTCCGCCACTTGATACAATTTATATTTTATACTAAATGCTTCACTGACAAGATACCCCAAAATGTAATTTCAAGTCTATGTTACCCTTTAAAATTTGGAAAAATTGAAGCTCCTGTAAGTGCACACACATGACGTAACTACATGTCTAACTGTAGTTTCATATAACAGCTTCCTTCTGTAGCTAGAGTTGAGGGTACAGGGTTAAGCACTGAATCCCTTAATTTAGAAAATATACCAAAGAAACACGATAACACCCATATTTCCCAGGAGCTGATAATCATAGGTGTATTTGCTAAAAAAGTATGGAATTCAAAGGTGTGTCTAAAATGATAAAACTATAAATATGTCTAGATACAGTAAAATACCACAAACCAACCAGTATTTGTAGTTGATGTTTCTGTGAGAAAGCTAAAGTTTTGATGTTTTAATTAGGTTATCCATATGCTCTGGCTATTGTATTCTCTCTGGAGACTGATGTAGACCCATAAATAATCTGATAATAAATACAATGAAATGTCCTTATAACATTTAAAATAGCATCTTGCTTTTTCCATGGCTTTCTTCACAGTTTTCCTATTATAACTATTATCTAAGTGGAAAGAATTGGTGGGGGAATAAATGAAGTGACCTGCTGTGAAAAGCCTTTGGTGTCCAGAAATTACAAATGGTGGTTAATTCTTATCTATACCATCAGTTCCAAACTGTAATCCATAGAACAGGAACAACAGAATCACTTGTAACTTTTTTAAGAATGCAAGTTTGGGGCCCCACCAAGACCTCACTAATTCACTGTCTGAATCAGGTCCACGTTCAAGTTTAAGAACAGAAAGTATGAGTTAATGAAGTTTACATAAATTTAAGCCCACACAGATTCATTGAAATATATCATATATAATTATATATGTATGAGTGTGTTATAACTAAGCATATAGCTTATGCACATGTATATACACACATGAAATATGTCAGATCATGCATGCAATTTATGAAGGAAACATGTATCTTGAAAGAATATGAATGAACTCTACAGTTGTATGCATGCATTATAAACACATACTATCTATCATCAATCAATCATCTATCATTTATCTATCAACTGTCTGTATCTACATCTATCTTCTTTCTTTCTTTCTTTCTTTCTTTCTTTCTTTCTTTCTCTCTCTCTCTCTCTCTCTTTCTTTCTTTCTTTCTTTCTTTCTTCTCCATGGACTTTTCTCATAAGTTCTCTGGGAGATGTGATCTTCAGCTCTGTCACTGACTAGTTAAAACGAACCTATTAGTATTTACATCTTATTGAAAACGAGGCATGTAGTACAGGATGGCACACCTGATCAAAGTACGGACAGTCTGCCAGATGCTTTGTATGCTATTGAGAGTAACAATTATTCCCATTTATTTGAGACTGATTTGTGTGGTTTGATAAAGCTTAGTAGATGGGTTATTTAAACAACAGTAGTGCAATTAAGCAATAAAGAATAAGATTAACATTTTAAAGGGCTGAGAATAAAACAGCATAACTTTGGTGTGAACATTTAACCATAATATATATTTTATTATTCTCAATCATGTAAGCATGTTCTAAGAGACAGACACTAATAATACATTGCCAGGATTAGCTTTGCATTGACTCTTTATATGACCTAGATCAAGCATCTTAGTTAGTCTGTGTTTACTCACATATTTATATTTACCCTATTTAAATTATTTTAAGAAACATCATATAAATTTTTCTAAAAGTTAGAAGTACCATAAATGATAACCTTCAACCTAAGGAATAGTCAATGATTGGATAAGACTGGCTTTGTATTAGTTTTACAGATACAGTTTTAAAAATAGGTAAAAAAAATTTCTTTCATTAATTATATATTATTTCCTGAAGATGGATGTTATATTCATATTGCTTTGTCTTCATTAGTGGGGGACTTACTCTTAAGCATTAAATAAATCTAATTAGTACATGTAAGAGAAATTGCTTTCTTCAATAATTCTAGGTGCAGTGCTTTGCTATGTATGTATACGTATGGTCCTCCCATTAGAGTATAATCTTGCAAGAAAGAAAAATAGATTGACTCATGATCTTTCCCTTTCAAACAAAAATGTAAGAAAAACAAGAACTATAATTGAGGACAGATAACAATTCACGTCTGTAACAACACTACCGACTACCGCGACCCGTGGGCTCATTATTCCCTCTCACACACCAGTTTATACATTGAAGCTGAAATACAATGTTAAATGGATGTCGAGTCAGAGTACAGAAAAAAAAAATCTTCCCTAGCTAAATATATAATCTCTTAATTGCTGCCATAATAAAGAATATACAACTAATGTGTAAGAGGAAAATAACAAAGAGAAAATATATTTTAATGAGATTGGCTCTATACCCTGAATTTCAAATATTAACTTCTGGGCAGCTACTATCCAACATTACATTATACATTAGCTTAGATTTTGGCTAAGATTTAAATACCTTCACTGTTAATTAAGAAATTTCTTGTTGTTTAATCAAAGCAAATTATAAGTTCTTGCCATGAATTCAGTTGAATTACCTAGTTTTTCATACACTTAACGGAATTAAACTTGAGTTTTGTTACCATTGACATTTTGAGCACACATCTGTATTGTATATTGCAATCTGCTCCAAGAAACATCTGGCTAACAAACCAATTTGCATAAAATATATTAACAATGAACTGCACTCTACAGAAAAGGCTCTAGGCTTTTTTTTTTTACATCTTGTCACACAATACCTATACATACTATGCATATTCATGTCTATTATTTAAGTCGGTATGACAAATATTGTAACAAACACAAAGTAGAGTGTATTTTGCTGGTTTATACTGCCCTCTTTAGGCAACATAAAGAAGCTCAAATAAAGGTAGTTTTAAAACAATATTATGTTTATAAAAACCTTCCTTAACTATCAAATCCTAGCCCTGTAATTCTTTTTGAAATCTCTCCAAGATGATGGGGACATGTGAAGTGTCTCCTTGGTTTACGTTGGTGAAAAGGTGCTTATAGCATATTACTGAGATTTTTAAATCCAATAGAATTAGATTACAACTTATTCTAGGATACAAGAATGACAATTTAAATTGTCTCAACACAGCACACTGTGTTGTAATATATTAATGGTGTATTATGCATACATAATTGATTGTACACACAAAAGGAATCCTGTAGAATAAGAATTAGTAACAATGCACAAAAACTGTATTTTGAAGATAACTACATCAAGGAGCAAAATACGTTGGATATTCATTTGAAATCATGAGTAAAATCATACTCATGAGAGCTACAGATGGTTGAGCGTTCTGACTAGAAAGCGAAGATCTGCTGGTGTACCAGAATCCTTTTCTTCCACGATTCTTGGATCTTACTTTCACAGCAATAAAATCAGCACATATCATTCTATCCCTTAGCTCATAACTAACCTGCCTCTGAACTGTTGGATGCTCCTGAGTGCCCACTGGTAACAGATGGCACGGAGGGCCGTGGAGATCCAGGAGCTATGCCTGTGTCATCTGCTTCCAGGGCACCATCAGCATCTGGGAAACTGAAATCTGTGGAAGTCTCATTATCGTTAAGGCTCTCTGAGGTGCCTTGCCCTGACCCACTCTCTTCATCACTTGTCAAAACTGCCCATGCTTTAGATTCTGGGGTGAGAGGCAGGACAGCACTGCCCAGCAGGACGTCACTGTCCTCCTTTCCATCATTGTGTTTCTGGGGAGGCGTAAGTGTTGGTGGTGATTTATCAGGACTTTTGTCCGTGCTAGTTACACCTGTGTCTCCATTCTCTCCTTCTGCACTCTCAGGTAGCAAATGTGAAATTGGGTCCCTCTGATCCACAAGGCTGTTTTCCTGGGTGTCTGAGTCATCCGTTACCTTTTCCTGTGATTCTCTATAGGGTGCACATGACATACACTTATTCAGGGGAAAGTGATCGCTATCTACGTCATCATAGTCATCATCACCATAATCATCACCGTCTTCACTACCTCCCACTAATTCAGCATCAGCTCGGGCACTATGAGCCAGCTTAGAAGTAGCTTGAGAAGGAAGAACCAACTCGGCTGTGGTCACAGAATCATCTCTGTTGGGAGAAAGAGTTGTAATGGAAACAGGCCCACTTCCTAATGGGATGGAATGGTCAGTAGCTACAAGAACATCAGAAACAGCCGTGAGGGTACCAGCAAGTACCTTGTCTGTAATAGAACTTTCAGTGAGCATGACAATTTCCTCAGAATACACAAGCTTGTCTGTAAGTGTATTTAGTGGTTCATCAATTGCTACAATGGGAGTAGCAAACGCTTGCCTGGCTTTCGGAGGATAGGCCTTGCTAGTGTCCAGATGTGCAGTTTGGAACAACTCATCATTACTGTATAAAGACGGCAGCACTTTCTGGGGACTTTCGCTTTTAAGCAAACCTTGTTCAAAATGTTTCTCACTTGTGTGAGGAACCGTTAAACCTTGAAGTGAAGTGGAGCGCGCATTAGCAGGTGATGCCTCGAGAACTGGCACAGACGTAAAGCGCAGCGTGCTTTCACTTGAAGCAGACTCTGATGCCATGGGTTGCAATGTGGAAGAGCTACTTTGTTCAACCTTGGGGGTTTCAGCCAACACTGGATCACTAGGCACAGATGGAAGAGCAGTTTTAAGCAAGATGTCAACATCAGAAGCCTGAAAGGAAGGTTGCGGCAGTGCTTCAGTATTAAAAGAAGATGTGGCCGCATAGGGCCAGGGCTGTGTTGAAGGGTGTAATACTTGACTAGGAGCAGGAGCAGACAATGCTGGCTCTGCATTTGTGCTAGGCCCAGGGGTAAGCCAAGTGTCACCAAATGCTTGAGATACAGAGTGTGTAGGTTGAACTGAGGAGCTAATTTCTGAAACTTGACTACTCTCATGATCAAAAACCTTAGTGATGGGGTTAGCAAGAGACTCGGGGAGCATGCCCTTTATGCTAGAAATAGAAACAGAGGTTTCTTGTAAAGACGCACTCCACTTATTTACCACATCAGACATCTTTGGCACGAATGTGCTTTTAGAAGGGTATGCCATCTCACTGAAAGAAGACATTTTCAGTTCAGTCTCATTTCCATGCATTATTTCACTTTTAGAAAGCGGCTTAATATCGTCACCACCAAACACAGATGTCGTATATGTAAATTCAGCCACAGAGACAGGCGAAGAAACGTTAAGAGTTCTCAGCCCATCTGTGTCAGGTAAAAGCAATTCATTATCAGAGGAGGCTCCCGACCACTCTCCATCGCCAGAGAGGGCAGGAGGAGGCTGCAGCAACGATGCAGTTGGAGTAATAAATGAGGACCCAGGCACTGATATATGGCTAGGAGTGATAAGGAGGGGCCCCTGGTCAGATACATCGACAGAATCATGCACAGGTATTACAGAACTGTAAGAAACACTGAGCACGTGGCGGGACCCCTTGAAGGCATGAGAAGGTTCAGGCCCCGAAGAATAGGCATGCATAATGACATCACTGCTGGGAGACTCAACTTGAGAAACCATGGGCGTTTTATAAAGGACAGCAGATTCACTACCAGATTCCAACGCGTCCGAGGCAGCGTGAGTAGTGGCCTGATACGACAGCATATCAGAATACTGAACAAGGCTGGGCTCTAACAGCAAATCACCCCCAGCCACCAGCAGAGAATCATGCAAAGACAGCTTATCCCTCTCAGCAGCTGAAGTAACTTGTGGAGGGGTTTGAGAAGCCGTGTGCGGATGGTGAAACAGTTCACTACTGAAGGAAGCAGAGGAGAATGGGGGCAGAGCTGCACCATCACAGGAAGACAGGATGGATTCAAAGGACACACCAACACTGGGAAACACAGGCGTAGCATGCAAGGCCGAATCACTACTCGAAGCAGCGGGGGGAGTGTTGAGGGTCTGATTGTCAAGCAACAAAGGGGTGACTAGAGGAGAGACCTCACTACTGTAGGAAGGTTGAAGAGGCGCCTCACCATTGTACACCGGCTGAGTTGTCTGCGGATGGAGCACGTCGATAGTGGGAGCCAAATCGACCGGTCTGGAGGGCAGAGTGAAAGCACGTGGCGTTACTTCAGTTGGGGCGTAGGCAAAGGTAGAATACGATGGCATCTCCATCTCTGTGACTGAAGAACGCTGCGACATGGTGGCGTCTGGGGAAAAGGCCTCGGTGGTCTCCCTAGATGCCTCAGTCTGTACGTGTGTGGCGTTATCCTGGAGAAAGCCCTCTCTGCCGGACCCAGGCTCAGACTGGGTTGTTAGATCTGTGGAGCCAGGAAACCACATGCTCCCATCAACAGAAGGGTCCTTCAGCGATTCTTCTGCGCCGGATGGAGCTGAATCTTCTGAAGCGTTCTCTGTAGATCCTGGCTTAAGGACTTCATACGTGATCGCCTCAGGCACTTCTGAAGCAGATATGTATCCCTGGGATACATTATCCAGGAAAAAGGGCACCGCAGAGGTTGCAGGACTGGAACCCGAAGAATCATCGCCTCCTGCATCGAGCTTGAAATCCGTCAGTAAGTTTTCTTCCTCACTGATGCCAGTAGACACCTCTTGGTACTCTGTTACGGAAACCGTGTTTAAGGATTCTGCAGTCCCAGACAAGTTCATCTGTGGGAAGACAGACAGACTTTTAGATCTGCTGTTTGAGGAGGCTGAAGTACCTCCCACACTGAATGGTGGCAGTTTAGTTCCAGTCTGAGAAGGCAAGGAAATTTCTTTTTCTGTATCAAATTCGGCAACCTGTTGGGAATTGGAACCCAGAGATATGTTGAGAATATCGCTCTTCGCAGAGAATTCACTTCCTCTCGTTGGAGACCGGTTAGTCTTGGCTTCATTATATTTAGTCCCCATGTGATTGTAGTGAGTTGTGGTGGAAACCTGGGGTTCCTTTTTCCTTATTTGGTTTGTGGCACTGTCTCTGCTGGGATTCAAGCCAGTGTCTTTCTCATTGTCTTTTCCATATTCTTTCTCCTGTAAAATGCAAACAAAATTTGAATGAAAAGAAATTAGAGAAAAACAGAGTCTAAATATCTTACCCAGTATTATACTATGAATTTTCACTTGTGCGACCTTCATGACCTCTGACCCTCAAAGGACACCATTCTGTTCTGTTTTATTCTGTTCCATTCCATGTGCCATGCCATGTCGTGCTATGTTATACTGTTTATACTATGAATCTATTCAACGTGCACTTATCCTATTTTATTTTATACTAACTAAGGAAAGCAATTAAGTTAAATGAAGTCAGTTTAGTTATAACTGCCTTCATTTTAAGGTTATATAATAAGGGACTGAAATAATTCCACAAAAATTTTGCTGCATGATCTGACCCAGTTTTTCTGAATGCCAATGTTCAGCTTAATGAGATGGCATTTCTGTCTTCTTCCTCCATGCTGAAAGTCTAAGAATCTGCCCAGTTCTCTGATGTCGCTACACTAACCCCCAGTCTTCCACCTCCTGCTCTCTCTCTCATGCTCAGCAGATGGCGCTGTTGTTCACTTGCCGGGGAAAACAGAAGCCAACAGACAGACATCACACGTGGTCCTCACGTTGAAGACACTCAAGGAAGCCTTCCTACCCTCCTGAGCTACTGCCTTTCCTTCACAAGCCCATTCCTACATCAGTGTATGACTCTACTTTTCAGTGTCTCCTTACAAACTGAACATGGTTGAGCGTCCTGACTTTTCTCTAGTCCCCAGATTATTCTAACAGGACTAAGTGATTTCAGGTCTCTTCTGTTGAAAAAGAACATAAAATAAAATCTTTAATTTAACCTGAATATCATTTAACCTTTCCTTCCCCCTTTAGAACTGAATTTCCTCAAAGATGAGTCACGTATTGCTATACATGATCTAATGATTTCTATGCACCCCAACACTAATCTCTGCCTATGCGCCACACTAGCACACTTTATCATACCATTCCGTAGACTGTCTAGATTCCCATAACAACCTTATGAGAGCCTGGTGGTGCTCATCTGTTTTTCCCAGATGAGCTATACACTTAGAATACACATATACTTTAGGTGATTTCTTTTCTAGCAGATATTAAATGTTATGATATGATTGACCATTCTCCATGCTTTGTTGAATTTTGATAGGTCACACTCCCTTGTGTCAACATTTCAAGAATAAATCATATATATATATATGATTATATATGACTACAAGCATTTTAACAGTTTTACGATTCTTGCAGAACTGTAATTTTCTTCTCCTTTTAAATATATTATCGTACTACTTTTTATTTTATTACTTAGGACTTTAAAATCCTCATAGATGCAATCCACACATTTCCAGCCTTCCTTATTCACTCCTACGTGAAGTGCAGGTTCCGAAGTTATTAGGCAGTAAATAATGGATGATTGAGCAGTATTTTCAGCCCATTTCAAAGTAGCACTACATTCATTATAACTGTTCTGACATGACCTTATGCTATGATCATTAATTTCAATAGGATGAAACATATTGATTTGTAAAGTTAAACTGGCTAACCATGTACCTGGACCTATCATTTTAAGTCCCACCTATGTCTGATTCCTTTTCCACAGCAGTGGAAGCTGTGTTCTGTTTTCATTTCTGCTTCTTTGGCTGCTACTGCCATGGGAAATCTCACAAATGCTGTAGTTTTCCATAACTTTCCTCTCTTCTAGGTCATAACCTTCCTCACAAGAAAATGATTATTTTTTTTAAAAAGTTTTACCACACCTTCTTACAGGTTTTCTTTCTCTGTGAGCTATACGTGTTCTCCCTTTATTTTCTGATTGGGCTAGGAAGTAGGAAGTAGGAGAGTGAGAATGTTGTCCAGGAGCTTTGTCACCTATTTTTTTTAATCACAAAATTCTCTGTTCCTCCACAGAGGTCACAGCCTCTTCTGGGAGACAGTTTCTATACGTTCTCCCTGCTTTTCAGGTGTAGGTATAGCAAGCAGTCTCTAATAGCTATAATCCCGAAAACCTACTCTTGACATCCATTTACCTTCTCACACATCTTTGAATAGGGGTTTTATTAAATCAACTTCAATGAGTACACTTGCCTCTGACATCTTTTCCTTGTTGGAACCTGAACAGAAATGTTGGGTTATTTCCCCTCCTCCTGTAGAGGAACCTTTAACTATAGCATGATAGACTGTAATAGATGTAGATAGAGATATGATTTGAAAACAATGCAAGTTACTTCTCTAATGACAAGATCCGCTTGTACTTGCAGTACATGTAATTGGTGAGACTTAAGATGATACACATATATACACATATGTATACATACACACATACATGCTTTTAATTACTTTTGATTAGGGAAATTTTGGGGTCTTTTGTGGGATAACCTTTCAATATTTCCTTTCAATATTCTATTAACGCTGTTCTCCAAATTCATAACCTGTTAACCTCTGTTACATTTCTCACCCTAGATAGGAATCAAGCTTGATAACACTCAGGCTAAATTCCCCCTTTTATGTGGCTTTCTAGTTCAGGCTATCTGGTTTGAAAAGGAACATTTTACCATGTGCTGTCTTAGCTTAAATACACATAGATCAGAGAATGTAGGACACAGAAAGAATAAAAACATATAAATTAACGGGAAAATGCACACCTATATATGTCCTTTAGCATCTCTAATCTTACACTGCTAGAATTTATGACCTATTCATACAACTAAATGTTATAAGAATATAACACTGTAGTTTTATATAGGAATTTTTTAGTAATTAACATTGGAAGATTTCAAACAACTTTTGTAAGCTTCTCCTGAGGTCTTTTTAGTGTCAATATTAATTAAGAATAAAAATAAACAGGAAATTGTAATCACAGCAATTATAACGAAAAGTAATTGAATACTGCATTTCACGTGAGATGGAGCATAACATCATTTATTAAATTACTAGAACCAGGGGTGACTTCAGTTTATCAGATAAAAAGAATTTAGCAACACAACAAATTTTTTCCCCTTTTTTTTTTTGACTTGGTTCTGTTAGTAATTTTAGGCATTATCTATACACATGAGAACATGATCATATACACATACAAAGCTACTTCTAGATAAATCTTGTGAGCTCTTGTTGAAATGTAGAATAAGTATTTGAGTAAGAAAACCCACTGTAAAAAAAGAGTAAAAAGGATATACAAATCATTGAGCTAATTGTATACGTAAAATTACTGACTTCAATTCATTACTGGGTAATAGCAGTAGTTATCACCTTTTCATTGCTCCCACACAATTTGTACTTATGCACACATTGATATCATCCAGAGCAACTGGTTTGAAAATGTAGTTTCAGTTATGGTGAACAATACATTTGGGGTTAGGTCAAAATACAGTTTCACTCAGCATTGTTTTCTCTCACGTCAAAATAGTAAGAAAATGTTAAAATTTGTTGATATTCCCAAATGTTTCTTTACTTGGAGGACACTGTGCTAGAAACTTATATTTTTATATGAATAGCTCAAATACAATAAATAAATAAAATTCCATTTATTAACTGGTCATATTTATTATGAGCCTATCAGTGATTGGCTACTTATAAACTGTAGCAATAGTAAAAACTATAAAAATATTACTAGAAAAAAAATTTGAATGCTAAAGAGTTTCAGTATAGCTAAAGCTTATAGCTACAGTTATTTGTAAACTTGATTAACTTCTTTTCCATTATAATAATTTATTGGTATTACACTAATAAAACATCCTCCAGGTTTGTTGTAAATCATACATGCTGAGCATGTGACAATAAAGCCTAGGAATTCACCCAGCAGTGAAGCGTGCGACAGTATCTAACAAAGCAAGCAATAATTCAAGACCGGCTTTTAAATTTTGAAACATTTAAATATAAAAATAACTATAATACCTTGATTATTTCTTCAGTTCCAATTAATTCAGGAAAAAGGTCAAGTTCTAAAAAGTTAAAAACAATATTGTTAACAGTTTTAATTCAACGCCAGCGGCCTTGTAGGCTTATCTTTGGGTAGAAAGAGAAAAAGTTAAAAAGAAAATTGAAATATTACTGGCTTTGAAAACATCGCAAAGTAATAACGTCAAATTCTAGTTCTCAACACTGTGGAACAATCCACAGCGCTACAAATGACATGTGACAACATTTGCATTGGCCTGCATCTTCTACTCAAATTGTCTTTCCCAAGCCCACCCTGGCTCCCATCAAAGCTAAGAAGGAAAAAAAAGGACATGGCAGTGGTAAGGCTGAACGTGAAAACGAGCCTACTTCCTCATCTGTGCACCACTAGCGCGGACAGAAGTAGAACTGCAGGCGACAGGGATTTCTAGGGACTTGGGTAGGATTAATTTCCCAGTTTAGTCTACTTCCTGAACTTCTTCCGACCGAGGCTCCAGACCTTCTTTCTTACGCTTTTGATTTGTGCCTATACTTATTTCAGTACAGGGTCCTGCGCAGGAGGAGGGAGAGCTTTTCATCAGCGAGCTCCAGCATAGGATGACCGCAGGGGAAACTAGACAGGAAGAGCCGTATGTATTTTCTCCAGGGAAATTCAGCTAATAACATTTACGCTGTCGTAAGGAATTCAGTAACCAGATTCATTCAAGTCTAATTTTTATTTTCCAATCCAATCAGAATCAATGTATTTTTATTATTGTTTAAAAAGACCTGTTAGCAAGTGATAGAATAGGCTAAGAGTGCAGTGATGTAGCTCAGTGGCTGAGTGGAAAAGTTAAAGATCTGGTTCTTGCTGTCCGAAAAGGAATGTGGCACACTGACAAATTACTGGGAGCTGGTGGATATTTCTCGGCTTCGGGCAAGTGTCTGGGTTATTTGGAAGCAGATAAGCACAGTGGCAGTGAGGGCTTGGGGGATTGTTATAGTGATATTTTTTACTATGTACAGGCTTTTATGAAGCTTCACTCCATTGGCAGTTTTTGCTCTGCTCCATCTTGATGTTGCTCTGTGTTTAAGTCTTTATACACTAAATACATATTCTAAAGAAATTCCATGCAGAACTGGACTGACATTAAATATTCATCTTATTTTGACTTTCCCTTCAATATGAACTATAACAAGTTCATTTTTATCATCAGAGACTCCCTAACTATTTATAAATATAAAAGCAAAAACTATGCTTGGGTACATGGATTCTATTTAGAAGAGAAATTACATAATGTCTATAAATGTACCCAAGTCCTAAGGTTTAAACTTAATACTCTTAAAAGCTTAGAAATTTCAGTTATTAACCCTTCCTAACTAACAAACCTATACTAATTTTCTGTACTATCAAAGTGAAGATCATAACTTGAAATACTCCTAGATTTAAATTAAACTCTATTATTTTTTTTCATAGTCAGTTTGACTATAAAAGAGTTTGGAAATTTTTACATAGATCAATTGTTCAGATTTTGTTCCTATGTAATTATTTCCCAACATCTGATTTTCATTCTCTTTATTTACAATGGTTCCACGTTAAAGTAATTTCAATTCCCTCAAACACCTGAGTCTTTGTCACCTTCATGAAGACCAACACGGGGAAAGTTAACAAAGTACACCGCACAGTGCCTGAAATGACCTTCAGCTTACTTTTCTGAAAGCTGCAGCTGGAGCAGAAAAGTCCACGTGTGTAGTAATGTTTGAATTCAGTCCATGAGACAATACTCGAGACCTCCCAGCAGCCACATTTTCTCGTATGCTTTGAACCATTTTAATGATAAGGGCACACCGTAATGAATTATTTCTTAATGAGGCATATATTTTCACTTTTATTAAAAAAAATCTCAACAATTGTGTACTCCTTTCTGTATGCCTCAGGAAATGTCTTTGATTTTTAAGGCTGTTTAACTTCATCTTTTTGATGGAAAAAAAAAAAACTAATTATTTTATTTTTTGTCAGGGTTGGGGTAAAGGTTGTCTTCCTTTCATTTCAATATTCCCACTGTGTATTGCACTTGGTATATTCTACCTTTTACTAGTGGGCATTAGTTAACCGCATGGATCAGGATTCCCTCAAAGTGAAATGTGTGTACTAATCCAACTATGGAACCTCAGAGTATGGGTGACTGCTGCTGTACTTTAGTTTGCTGTTTGCCACTGTAATTACGAGCCTTCTCTGGACTGTCTTAGGTACTAGAGCAGCCTGTGTGGCCCTCTCAATCCCATGTCAATCTCAGGGATGGAGACCTCAGCAGCTGGTGCTTTCGCAATGCCAAGGGCAAACTCTCTCTGGAAGATCTTTACTGTTTTTAAACTGGACTCATAGTTTTAATAGAAATTCTGGGGTGTAATAAATAGCAGAATTTTAGAAATGTGTTTCTTTTCAAGATTCCGAAGCCACACATCTGAGTATGAAGGGTTAAAACCCCAGCATCCAAGGTAGAGCTGAACAGTACCAATTCTCATATTCACTTCTCCTTACTGGTACTTTCTTAAAAAAAAATAGTAAGTAATATTTTATTTATCTGAGTATTATTGATACATAAAAAAGTTGACAAGTTATTTGGTTTACAGAATATCCTCACTTAAGCAAAATAGGTTCCAAAAAGGCTGGAAAAATATCTGATAGTGAATTTATGTCTGTGTCTGTTTTTTTTTTTATTTTTTTATTTTTTTTTCATTTTGAGTGAATACTTACAATTCACATTTGTGTAATAGCTCAAAAAACACAGGTGGTAGACTGGGTTTTGTGGCACATGCGATCTTATGTGTATTTAAAAGTAATGCATTAGTAGAGTATCAGAACCTTAATACACAGTTTCATAATACAAAGAAGCAACACTGATAAAGTTTAACAGTAAATTTTTAATGATTTTAAGGCAAGTTTCACAGTGCAAAATGTAAAAGTAATGTAGACTCCAACTGCCCCAAACTGTAAAGTAAGACATAATTACATCGTAGCTTTTGTAGCACGGCCTGAAGCAGGAGGAGGAAGGACAGAGGCAATAATGCAACAAGACATGGAGAGACAAACTGCAAAGCACACACTGGGTGGATAGCAAAGTGTGAGGATTCATTTTGTGACATGCTTAGATTTGACACATATAGTTATCAGAGCCTTAAAATATTTCTGTAAAAGTGTCCTCTACTCTGTATAGTCTTTATCAGAAAAGAGAATTAAACATATTTGTGTTAATTACAATGAAATAAACATATTCACGAATTATTCATTTGTAAACATAACTTCTTAAAATGTCTCTTAAAACAATATTTCCTTTAAGAGAAATATTTCTCAAGGCATCCTTGAAACTTTTAAATTATTTTCTTTATATGCATTTATGCTTGTATTTTAAAATAATGCTTGAAATAATAATGAATTCTAGTAATGGCAATACAAGAGGGTAATATTGTATCTTGTGGCAAATAAAATTAGGATGCACAAGTGATAAGGTTTAAAAATTATTGGTTTCAATACACAATTGAATCAAATTAGGACATCAAAGAACCTATTTAGAAGATTGGATTTTCCTCAGATATTGAGATCTATGAAAACATGAGGGTAATTATAAATTACACTTGTTTCATTTGATCAAGATCAATAAGCTATACTGAATTTGGAAAACATCTTATTGTAAATAACAACAGAGTAATTCAATGATGTGTATTATAGCATCACCAAGAAAAAGGAGTGGTATGGTAAAACGGCAACTTAATACACTCCTACATTAGCCACAAAAACAACACCATTTGTTAATTAGACAATTTTGCCCAACTGGACAGTTATACAACAGGCTGATACATATTTACTACTAATAATATTTTAGCTAATGTGAATTGCAAGTAAGTGAATTAAAATTCAGCCCTTAAACTCAGGAGGAGAAGTCTAAGGAAACTAGTATTTTCTTCATAGTTAGTAAGAAAACTTCATGCTTGAAATAAAACTGGTTCTTGATGAAGAGACTTTGGATGGGTATAGTTAGAGGATAGTTTATCTACTATGTTTATTAGCTTGGGTTCTCACACTTATCCAGTCAAACTCCACCCTATGCTAAAGCCCCAAATACTGTACAAAGCTCAAGCGCCTAGGGGACTATGACATCCATGAAGATTAAATGGTAGGTCCAACCTATTGTCCGATCATAGAAATGTTCAACAGTGTCCCGATCCTTTGGATAAATAGAAATTAAGTTGTATGGGTTATTATTTTGTACAAATGAGAAAATACTACAACAATTAGCAATGTGCCTATATAGACTCATTCTAAAAACAAAGCCCTCAGAGGTAGGTTATAGAGAAGACATCCATTTGATCATTCTCATATGCAGTAAGCATCTCAAAATGAAAACAAGAACAAAATTTTCAAAAAGTTGAAAATTTTGGCATAGTGGCCAGTGTAAGGCAGGACAAAGTGAGCCATTCATTCTTGTTTTTCTTGGGATCTGTTTTATGTACAGAAATGAGAATGATTTAACTAAAACCGTTAAGCAAATATGTCCAATATAATTCATACTAAAATGTGTCAATAAGACTCGGGGGATTTTTATATGATGCATTTTCATCTATTTGTATATGCCTGGCCAATCTGCATGATGCTTTCCTGTTACTGATGTCACTTTCTGGATAGATAAATGTGGGGGACTTTGGGCAAAGCTACTGTTTCCTGGGATATCATGATACAGAATACAATTGTGGTGATTTTTTGTGAGTTTCACTTTTAAATACAATTTAGCATTTATTTTCCATCAAAAAAACAACCCAATTTAAAAAAAAGCTAAATAAAGGCAGTTAGAACAATAACACAATGAAACACACTCATTACGTGAGCTCATGTCAGATTAAACTATAGCCACAGCCTTTAAACAATGAAAGCAAGGCATTTCCCTCTCTGTACATAAAACATAGTATGTCATAACTAGTCACTGAAATGAAAAACTTATAAACACTTTAATAACTAGAATCAGGATGGGGTGACCGAGGAGCATTCACATTTATGTATGTATATATGCATTTATGTGAATACGTGTATTGCGATGCATACCCATACATAACATTACACAAACACAACACAATTCTGACACTTGAAAACTCCTTTTAGTGATAAAAGGAAAGCTATATAAATTTGTAAATCATCAAATTATACCTATATCTTGATTAATTCATTGCATATGTTTGATATCAAAGATATTTTCCCTTAATGTTTAGAAAGGGTGCATGCAATTAGAAACAACTTTTGTTTCTGCAAAAAATAAGATATATTAAGAAAGAGAAAAGCACCCCCTATCAAATTACAGAAAGTGGAAAAATATTTAACTTTGAGAAGCTTTATATAGATATTTGAAAATACCTGACATGATCCTAGAGAATACTTACTACATGCTTTGGGGGCTGAAAAGAAAATAAATACAAATGAAACCAAGTCTTTTAAGTAAGTCTAAAATAAGTCTCACTATTCACTCGTCAATTTCCACTTGATGATTTTTGCAAACATGAGTAGATCTTGTTTTTCTTATTTTATAAGTGTTAAAGTATTCATATTAATAATAAATTTACAGATTGCCCAGCATTAGTTTTGCTAAATAGAGAATTCCAAGCTTCCTGAAATTACTTGAGAAACCAGACATAACATAAAAGAAGTTTTCCCTTTGTTCAAAAAGATATTAAATCAGTTTAATGTTTAAGTTTAGGAGAACTCTCCCCAATGATTTCCACAATGGCTTCACCAGTTTTCACTCCCATCAATAATGAGTATGGGTTCTCACCAGCATTGGTTTTTTTCCCCTAGACCCGCCTCGAGGAGAGCCATTCTGACTATTGAAAGGAAGGGATCATCAACCCACCCACAAAATCTTCAACCTCAAATTTACCCTGCCTAAGAGATGTACAGGGAGACAGGGCAGAGATTGAGGGAATGTCCAACCAATGCCAACCTGAGACCCACCCCATGGGTCTATTAACGATATTCTGCTATGCTCACAGAGAGGAGCCTAGTGTAGTTGTCCTCTGAGAGGCTTCACCCAGCAGCTGATCCAAACAGATGCTGAGACTCACACTAAATATTGGATGAAGCATAGGGAGTCTTGTAGAAAAGTAGGAAGAAGGATAGAAGGACCTGGAGGTGCCAGGACCTCCACAGCAAGACCAACAGAGCCAACTAACCAGAGCCCAGAGGGCCATGTGGAGACTGAAGCACCAACCAAGGACCATGCATAGACTAGACCTAAGCCCCCTACACAGATGTAGCAGACATTTAGCTCAAGCTTCATGTGGGTGCCCTAGTGAGGGGAACAGGGCTGTCTCTGACATGGACTCTGTTGCCTACTTTCTGATCACTTCCTCCTGGTGGGGCTGCCTTACAATCCTGATGTGAACTGATGAGCTAGGATTGGTGGGTGGCGGGGGGCTCCCCTTATCTGAGGAATGGGGGGGGATGGGAGAAGAGGGAGGGAGGGTGGGATTATTGACTATTTACTTCTGCACTATTGACAATCGCAGCCAATGGGACCAGCCTAAATGCCTATCAGCAGATTAATGGATGAGGAAAATGTGGTCCATATACACAATAGAACTAGAGTCACTCATTATATAAAAAAAAAAGACATTGGCAGGAAAAGCAGTAAAGCTGGAAAACACTTCATGAAGCTAAGTAACTCAGACCCCAGAAGATAAATACTATATTTTCCTTTAACATGTGAATTCTAGATTTTAGTTTTCATACATATATAGGGATAGGTTTGTACAGTTCCTAGAGCTAGAAAGGGAGTCCACGAGAGGGAAGAAGGGTGTCTTAAGCATGTGGAGGTATCAGATCATACATGACATGGAAGCAGAAGAGCGGCTACACCGGTAAGGACGGGACCAATGGGAGGGCGGAGGAGGAGAGGATCAACACAAACAAGAAGGTATGAAAAAGCTATAATGAAACTCCTAATTGTAATAAAATATAAACTTAAAAAAAACCACCCTGAAAAGCAACAAAGTCAGAAGGAAGCACATGTATACCCAGTAACCAAAATGGCTTCATTTACTCAGACATCAGAAGGGTATCTCAGGGAAGGACTCACCAGCATCCTCAGTAGGCATGTCAACTATCAGTTGGTCACTGTATTTTCCATATAAGCCATTGGTACATATGGCCACTATTTGAAGAACGTAACTCATGTTAGGTAGTAAGTTATTGAGAATAGCACCCTAGAAGAAAGATATTACAAATTATGCCAAAATGTTATCAGAAGACTATTAAGTGAAAAACTGACAATTCTCTTTATCCCAACTATATATGCCTGCATACAAACGCAAGTGTGTGCACGTGTGTTGTGTTTGCATGTGTGTACTCAGAAAGCAGAATGCTATCTTCTCTATGAATTATGAGAGGAAGTACTTGCTCATGAATTCCTCAGTTATCCTGTATCGTTACCTCTACATTATAGACAAATAAATTTAAAAGGAGCCATTTACTGTACCCATATGCTATCAAACATACTAATAATGTCAGTTTATTTAAGTTGGTTTCCAGGACCTGCCGTCTTGCTGCCTGAATGTGGAGCTCAGAGACTTTCTGGTGTGGTGGCATCTTCCAGATGAGGTGGTTGGCACCCACCACCTTTGGGCCAACCCTTCCCGACTAAGTCCAAGTCTAGCACTACAATGTTCTTCTGTGGAAGAACTCCGAGCTGTAATTTCTGTAAATCACATGCACGGCTAAGAGGTCCTTTCACCTTAGTCTGTTCCTCAAAGTTCTGACCTAGTTACGACTTTTCATTTGCCACCCTGGAATCTGATGGAATGCAAAGGACTTTTAAGTCCCTTATCTGTTTGTTTGTTTTCTTTTTCTTCTTGTGGTGGTATAGGGTGCACAATGTGAACAAGGTAAGATTCTCAGGCTAACTGTGAGATTTTACTTAGAGTGCTTAATTATTCTTTACATCACTTTATCATAAAAGGGGAGTGCACTAATAATGTCCAGTGTCTAAGTTTTCTGCATGTGTCCACCCCTCATAATGTCGAGTCATGATCTTCTTGCATTTAGTTCTAACTACAGACATCATTTATCACACCCATGTTCCCTGGAAACAACTTCACTCAAAATCTAGAGTGACCAAAGGCAAAAATACATAATTATTTGTAAGTTCTTACCTTGGAAGTCAAACTATAGTGTTATCAGACAGAAAGTAATTCATCTTATAGTTACCAAGTCCTGATAGCCATCTGTTAAAAACTCATGCTTGGTTTGGTCATTTCCCTCCAGTGGTTGGTACAGCACCGCAAACTTCTCAATCATGGTGTCATAAACAACTCGAGGTCTCTCCCATGTGACCAGAAGGCTGGTGTAATTTTCAGGGTCAGCCTGCACATTTTCTGGTTCTGAACTACACACTTCAGGAAAATAAAAAGTCAGTGGCATAATCATTTTTGTCTTCCTGGATTTGTACTAAGTAAAACATATTCAGTGAAAATTTTTTAATTGTTTTATAGTTTAATATGATGTAAAATATTATCTACCTTTTAACACAACACTTTCACTTGTGGTGATTTTTGTGTCTAAAATTGAACTCAGTATGTTCTTTCAGAACAAGGAGATTAATCTGGCTCACAGTTCTGGAGGGTGGAAGTCCTGGTGTATGAGACTTTAATGGTAAGGTCGAAGTCTGACATTTCATGATAGCCTTTGAGCTTGGTCTATAATGGTGGATCCCCTTACTCAGTGGGGTGCCCTCTCTACCTGAACCTGAAAACCTCTAAGGAGCATCACATAGCCCTCAGGGAGGATTACAGGCTTGTCCATATCCTGATAAGAAACTTGCTCAGCAAGCACCTGGGGATTCCTGGAAATACCCCACACTATGCTAAGGAGATTTTAGCTCTAAGCAAATGACTTTCAATTGTCCCTGGAGATTTTCTTCCACCCATAGGATAACTAAGTACTATGTTCTCCTTCTTGTGATAGGAACATGCTACTGTGTGTAAATGAGGTACTGTACCACTACATGTAAATCACGAATCCCTAGCACCTCTAGCCCCATTGAATCAAACATATTCACCCTTAAAACACCTCCCACTGTGCAAGGTTCATAAGTCCCTGCTTTCCCATGAAATGGATGTGTTGTGTACTCCGTGAAACTATGAGCTTTCCACCATGGCCGTTCAATTATAACAAGAACCATAGCTCCTTTTCTTTTGCTATTGCCCAAAACATGGTTTCCAGAGGATTTGGCATGGATATTCATTTGTGGAAACAATGTACATAGGATATTTTCAAACTTATGTCATCTGTATATGTCTCTTTTGAGACCTAACAAATATTCTCAGGAATTAGAAAAAATTCAAATATGATATATGATCTATAGTTAGACATTTTTGCTCTTAGAGAAACTTTGAAATAATTCAAAATTCCAACCCTAAAAAGCTGTAACATAACTAAAACTATCAATTTGGTGTTTGGGGGAACTGGTAATGAAATGCCCCTTTGGTATCATTAATAGTTTAAATAAATACCTATAGGGACTTAGGATATTTGTCTCATATGGAAATAGTATTGTGGAACATTTTTCACAACTTCTTAAAGTAATCCCAAGATCTTCCTGGGTGAAAATTGGGCCAAAAATTCAGTCCCGTCAGAAACAGTGTTGTGCCAGGAAGCATGTAGGTGTCTTAGATTAACCAATCATCATGGGTAAAACAGCTGAAAATATATCAGCAGCTGCTTCAGAATGTGACCCAAAGGGATTTTTTTTTTGTGTCTGTTCTAGTTTTTAGTTTGTCTCATAAACACATGAGGGCAACGATGACTAGATTCTCTGCACAAGTAGGCTGACTTCAACACAGTGTTGTTAGCAAATTTAGCAGATCAAGTCTGTGTTTGCAGTGGTACATTAATTATCCACAAAATATAAGCATATGCTTTAAATAAGTACATGGATAAATTTACATGAGTTAGAGACTTTTTTTTCTGTAAACGAGTAATGTTGTTTTTGTTTGGGGAAGGAGCTTAGAGTGAGGTGTTCCTTTAAGCATAAGAGGAAAATTCCTTCATTGTGAAAAAACTGTGAATTCAGACCAAAAATATATTCTAAGTTTAGACTATATCATATATTTCCATCTGTGACACTTCTGTGATTTTTCCACCAGATGGCAGAAGACCATCAAACCATCTCAAAATGAGAGCCGCTCATTAAACTATTATTGGAAAACATTATCTCCTTCATCTTAGAGGAGTGTACCTGTAGGTGAAAGAGGCTTCCTGGCAGTATAATTTGTAGATTTTTCTCCGTTAAAACAAATCCCTCTTTTCAGAGAAGAGGGATGCTTTAAAGTGATCTACATTTATAAGATGTACTCTTTAAAATTCATTAACTTAATGTACCACACAAAACAGAAAGGTCTTGAGAAAAGTAGAAAGGGTTTGTTGAGCTAGGCCCAAAGGATTCTTATCTAACTTCCCTGGCTTGTCCGCATCTGTCTCTTCTTATTCTCACAAATAGGAGATGTTTCAGATGTTAACCATCTATGTTAATATGAAGTGAGACTTTTCAAAGAAAGTTATATTTCCTTGAGAGTAGGTTCTCAGTTCTTAGCTGTATTACTTATAAATAACATGACTAATATAGTAATATTAATAAGTGACTAATATAATAATATGAATAATATGAACTAACTATGATATTATTAACTATTAACTAATAATATGAACTATGAACTAACATAGTCATATTAGTTATTTTAATAGTTTGGGCTTGTATATTTTCCCTTTATTTCTTCATTCCCCCTTCTCAACTCTCTGAGGATTCTCTTCACCTTCCTAACCACCCAATGTCATGTTTTCTTTCTCTAAAAAATTGTGGAATTGTATTGGCTCCTGAGCATAGGCCCTTCCTTGGGTGCAGAAAACTGACTTTATTTCGCCTAGCAGTTATTGGTTGGCAATAGCTCCTTGGCTAGAAGTGGGACCTCGTGCCTACTTCCACTCCTTTGTGCTGGGATTTTGTCCGGCTTGAACTTGCGCAGGTCTTGTGTGCACTGGCACAGTCTCTGTGGGTTCTCAAGTGCACCTGCTCTTCTGTGGCTGGAAGACACTGTTTTCTGATTTCTCTGGCTATTATAATCTTTCTTCCCCACTTTTCTGCTTAAATCTTTGAGCCTCAAGGGGTGTGACAGATTTCACTGAAGGCTGAGCATCCCAAAGTCTCTTGTGTTCTATATTTTGACCATGAGTAGGTTTCTGTGCTAATTACCATACACTGCAAAAAAAGAATGTTTATCCAGCGCAGGTTGAGTCATTCACTGGTTTGTGCATATGAACATGTTTCATTAGGAGCTGTTTTATTGCAATGTTTCTTTAGAAGAAGAATAGTAGTAGACTTTTCCCTAGGGTTTATGGCTTATCTAGCCTCAAGTTCATGGTCTCATTGACAGTGTGTATGAATTCCATCTTGTGGACTGGGCCTTAAGTCCAGTTCTTAAAAAGTGGTTGATTACTCCTGTAATATTTATGCCACCATTATGCCAGTGGGCATATCCTGAAGGCATCTCATTTTTGTAGCTCTGAGGCTTCATAGCAGATGAGATAGAGGATTTATTTTTCTCTTCTGGGACCCTGTATAGCACCTTCAGGCAGCATGAATGCAAGCCGGAAGGGTGATGCTTCCAGCCCGGAAGGGTGACGCTTGCAGCCAAGTCGCGGCTAAATTTCTCCATGTTCCTAGACACTAAGCACATAGTGTCTTGAGCAATAGGATCTTACTATTAAGTTCTGGAGAGTAATGAGTACCCATGGCAATTGTCGATGTTTGGACCTCCTACTGGACCGTATTAATGACAACTCAAAAATATGTAAGCCATTCTTGATTCTTGGGTCTTTTATTTGGTTGCACAACATGTCTAGTTTGGGTACTGTCACCTTTCCCCCCCATAATCTGGCAACCCAATTTAAACTCCTTTTAGATATGTACATGTTTTAGGAGGCTTCTACAGCAGTAGGTGTCTATATGGCTTTTTGAAAAAAAAAATCTTTTCTTCTCTAGAAGATCCCCGCCCCCCATGACTTACTATCTAACTCACCTCTGTGGGTTGTGAAACACATATATCTTGAGATTAATTTTAATTAAAACATTATTTTTAAAGCATTTCTTTTGCTAATTGATAAATAATAATTTAGTAATATAAACCATCAGCTAAGCTTTATTCTTTAATTGTTGAAACAGAGGATTTAAAGGGATAAAATAGATGTACTTTAAAATGTACTCAAGAGAAAAGTCAAACTTACATCTATGCACTGTGATCTTGTCAAAGCATTGATCTTTTAAATAACCATCTGATTGATTTATTTCATAGATATAATTTGTTCTTTTGACATAAAATTAGGCAATAACCATAATCTAAGTATTAGATTTGAACTAGTATTTTGTTTTCTTTGATGCTGTTCTAGTGACATTAGTGTAGTTATTATTTTTATTTTAGATGACATGAATGTGCAGTGTGTATGTCCCTGTGTGGAGCTGTACACGTTGAGTGCAGGCGATGGTGGGACACAGAAAGGAGTGTGGCCCCTCTATAGCTGAAATTATAGGTGGCTGTGAGCAGACCTCTGTTGCTGATGGGAGCTGAACCCAGGGCCCCAGCAAGCCTATTCAGCACTGTTAGCGGTAGGCTCTCTTAACCCTTGAGCCATTTCTCCAGCCTCCAAAATTAGTGTGATTATTTTATTAGGAAGTTATAAACTCTACTAAGGCAATTATCTGGATTGAAAATCAAGAAGTCCTTCTTAGATTAGTATGTAGTTAGACACTAAATAAATGCTAACCATAATTTAAACAGTAACAGTTATATATATGTAGGCAAAAGGGCTCCCTACCAGATCTCCTTTATCAGGGAGTCATTTGTGTTCTGGATTAAAAACAGTTCTAACCTTCCAACCAGGTTGGTTCTGGTTACTACTGGTATGTAGGTGCAGCTGTTGCTCCTGTCTCTTGGAAGCTCATCCCTGCTGTAGCTTTCTAACACTGGCATTCAGAAAGTCTCACATGTCTTTAGTTTATAAACTCTAGACTTCATTCATGGAGAAAGGCACAATAAACCAGAAATAAATAAACACCTGTTACTTAAACCAAATGGGGTCGTGCTCATCAAAAGTCATGTGTATCCACTCAAGGTTGTATAGTATCACATTTGGCTGTCATAAAGTAGATAGGTAATTATTTATTATATTGTATGAAACAACATGTACTACACCAAGAAAGAACCAAAAGATTAATAGGCAAAGTGCTGAATATCTTGAGGACAAAAGGGAAAGACAGGAAAAACAAGAACAAAAAAGGAAAAGATAGCAGAAAAGAAATGGGGGAGAAATACAAGTTTTTTTTCCTGGTTGTGTGTGACAA